ATCTTGAACACAATGATGGGTTAAATATAAGCATAGATGATTTTAAATCTGGTTTTTGTATCTTTAAGTTTGATATAGGCTATAAAGACACATATTCAAATGGTGAAATTCTTCCATTGTTTAAAAAGGGAAATGTAAAACTTGACATTCATTTTTCTGAGGCAACACCTGAATCATTAAACATTATTTTAATGGCAACATTTCCGGGAAAATTTGAGGTTGACGCATCCCGCAATATTATTCAGTACTAATATGAATTCACAAGATATAAGTTTTATTTTATCAAATCATCCAGATACTAAGCATAGATTTCTAGGAGTATTTGCAAGTGATCAATTACCATCTATTATCATGGATAAAAAATGTTTTATAGCAAATACTAGACCTCACTATGAAATGGGGCAACATTGGGTATGTTATTATAGAGATTCACAAATTGAATTTTTTGACCCCTTAGGTCATACAGAAACATTTTATGGATTAAAAGAATATGGAGATGCAATGTTTGTAAATCCCATTCGTGTTCAAGGTTTGAACAGTTCAAATTGTGGACAATATTGTATCATGTATATATTATTGAGAACTTTAGGGTATAGTTTAGATGAAATTGTAAACACTTTCAGTGTGTCTAATAACATGGATTTTGTAGTAGAATCTATCATTTCTACCTTAAAAATGTTAATATTACATCAATTGTAAAGAAAATTGTAAAATAAATTTAAGATTGGATATAATGTATATATCAAACAAAAATGTTGTGTTATTGATTTGTTATGCTTCCGTTTTAAAATTCAGTCCTCACCCATTTAGATAACAATGATGTCATGCGCATCTTATCTCTCACCCATTTAAGATAACAATGATGTCATGCGTATCTTATCTCTCACCCATTTAAGATGAAAGCCCCATCCAATTAATTTATCTCCTAATCCCCATTCAATTAATTTATCTCCTGCTCATCAATATCTCCTGCTCATCTTCAGAGATTTTGAAAGCCCCGGGCCCGTGGCGGCCCGTGGCGTTCTGATGCCCTCAGTTTTCTATCTACTTTCAATCCTTGTAAATCAGTTATTGTTTTTATCAGTTCATCAGAATAAATGTTTTTTATGTGTGTCAACCATGAGATGTCATGGATTTTTTTTCTATCTTAACAGACGGTCATTATTTTTTCTGAAAGTTAAATGTTATTCTAATTCTGAACAACACAGCATGTTTATCCTTAATCCATGTTTGCCTTCATAACTGCGAACTGAATAAGCCTTTCAGTAAATGTTAGTACACCGAATACAGTCGTCAAAAAACTTCTTAGGGGTGCATTGGATCAAGTTTCACTGTTTATGTTATGTCTGACATCCATTCCAGTATTTAAAATCATCCAACAAAATAAAATAAATTGATTTTACTCATGGCATTTACAACTGCTGTGTATATCTATTTTAGCGTAATTAACATTAATTCTAAAACTTTATAATAAATGTATGCTTCACCCCTATAGAGGCACATATCTTAGGCCAAAGACCAGAAGAATAACAAGTGTGGGCATTGCATAGTATTTAACACATAATCCTATTTAAATTGGATAAAATTAATGTTCATAATACAATTTTTCTTCCAATTCATAATTTTCAATCGCTGTTGATCTTTAACAAATTCAAGTAATCTCTTCAACGCTACAAAGTCCAGCTTACTTGATCTTGTTCCCATACATAATTGAAGCTTTGTAGTCATGCCTACACTGCTTGAAAATAGAACTGCATTCTTGTGAATGTATTAAGATTTAGGATAATATATATTAGATTTATTGAATCACAATAACTGAGATCAATCTCTCAAACTGAAGTGATACCAGCGACATCTTTTTACTTAAAAATTTATGAATGACGCATACATAAATTCAACCTTCATGACTATTTTAGCTTCATTTTCATTCTCAAAAATTATTCTACTTTCTCTTAATTATCAAAAACATGCAACAATCTTAACATTATGAAAATATTCTCTGGAAATAACAGAACAGAACATTTTCAACATACATTGGCAATAAAACACTCTTTTAAATTTAGGTGCGGAGTATCACTTTTATCCATCAGCAGTAAAATTTTGATTTCTAACTTATTTTTTTAGATGCGATAGTTTTGATTATTTTCATATTATTTCTAATAGCGTTTTTATCTACTAATGCTAACTTCAGGGGTGCCCTGTTGGCTCAAACAGAGGACTAAAGGAATTATCATTAACAGATAATAGCAGATAATATATTATTTTATTATATACCCAATATGTAACACTAATCCTGATTGGTCAATACCTAGTCACGTGTTCCGAAATAGATTTACTATTTCCCTCGGAAAGTTATATTCCCTCAAATGTGACGTCAGCGGGAATATTCATTTGAACTATTGCCCGCTGACGTCACAATTGCAACTTCTATTACCCTTGGAAACGTCTGCGCATCATCACTGCGCAGACGAAAAACAGAAAAATGGAGGATGAGCACAAACACAAATCAACTCCGTTCACCATGACAGACGTGCGTGATCGATACAATATAAGCAACGTGTATAAAGTTTCCATAAGCTCAATACGTCTGTGTAATTTCAAGTGTTATGATAATCTATTCCTCGTGTTAAACGCAATTGAATTTGTCAAGTGAGAGTCTCAGAGGCAAAAATTTCTGTTGAGCATCTGATGACGTAACAGCTTATAATGCTAACAATGGACCCGGGGAGGGGGCTTTCTAAGCCTTTTTGGCCTTCGAAAAGGAAACGGGACAAGAGTCAGTATAGGGTATATAATAAAACAAATAGTGACTGCCTAATTTCGAGCAATAGTGTAAATGATTTCCCCTTGGGAATATCCTCTACAATGTACTATTCCCTCAGCCTGCGGCTTCGGGAATAGTACATTGTAGAGGATATTCCCTCGGGGAAATAATTTACACTATTGCTCTCAATGGCAGTCACTATTTGTATAATATTATTATTATATTATTGCTATTAGCGATAATATGGATATTATCTGCTTATGCTAATTTCAAGTGTGCCCTTTGTTAGAATCATAGGCCCAGACAAATAATTTTTAGTGATTATAGCGGTATTGTCTGATATTATATTTTCTGCTAACTCTAATTTCAAGTGTGCCCTGTTCCTAATAACATATGCTCAAGACAAATTTTAGTTTAGATAACAACAATATCATGCTACTGGTATAATTATTGATAAATATCAAACTAGCATATAGGCTTCAGACAAATATGGTTTTTTAGATTGAGACAAATTAATTTATCAGAATAAGTGACACTTTTCCACACTTAAATTATTTTTGATAAAAAATTGAAATAACATTAGTGCTGGAAATCATTAGCAAGTGAAAGTGACATTCCACACCAAGGTCACATTATCAGGCCGTCCAACTGTCCCGCAATTTGCTTATTTGTCACGCATTTGCTGGAAAATTTGAAGTCATGGCAGTTATTTTTGCGTGACAGAATATGTCACACAAATACGCATTTTACCTGATTATTGTCAAGCAAAAATATTCCTGTAGAAAAACTACAAAAAAGTGATCGCTGATACAGCACAAAACTGAACGCTGAAAAGAAACGAACGTATTTCGTTCTGACTTTTCACGCGGATACCGTATATGTCACGCATTTTTCTCGAAATAATTCGTATCTACAAAATTTGTAGAAAGGTGTTCAACATTTGTAAGTCACTCATGTTAGGTGTTCCCAAGTTGACAGGCCTGCATTATATATTAAGTTTCAAAAACCTTCAATTATACTGAGAAATAATGATCGAAGTTCAAAAACCTTCAATTATAGTGAGAAATAATGATCAAAGTTCTGTATGTATCTTACTACACACCAGGATATGGATTGGAGAAGCCCATCAGAATTACAAGAGGTACTTAATGGAAGTGGAACTTACAAGAAGAGAAATTAAGTAGAAAGAGGTGCTCTTCTGTGAGAGATGTTTTGATGAAACAGGTAGTCATAAGAAGAGATGTTCACTAGAAAATGGTGACTTAAAAGAGGTATAGTATTCGTTAGAAGAGGTACTCACTTATGAGAGGTGTTTACCAGGAAAAGGGTGATTTAAAAGAGGTGTTCACAATAAGAGGTATTCCCTAACAGAGGTGCTCACAATAAGAGGCGTTCACAAGAAAAGGGTGATTTAAAGATGTGTTCACAAGAAGAAGTACTCCATGAGAAAGGTCCTCATAAGAGATGTTCACAAGAAAAATGTGATTTAAAAAGAGGTGTTCACAAGAAGAGGTGTTCACTATAAAAGGTGACTTAAAAAGAGGTGTTCACTAGAAGAGGTAATTACTAATTAAGAATTTCTCCATCTAAAATGTCACTCGACTTTTTGGCAATATTAAAAGTCCCTGCCTGCATTTAGTAGTCATATATTGTCATGTGCATAATTTTGAAACCATATCCTAATTATTTCACAAACCCTTTGTTGATTCTGCCATAGTTTCCAATTTGTAAACAGCATTTAGCCTTTTTAATTGGGAACTTTTTTGAAATTTCCAAAATGGCTGCCATGTGATTCCAGAATTAACATGAGTGTGACGTGACATCACAGTTGCTCGTTCCTAGGTAACAACAAGATCACAATTGCTCGTTTCTAGATAGCAACAAGATTTTTGATAAAATGGCACAGAATTACCCTGATTAACACCCTTAAAATCCGATTTTCAAAGCATATATTTGGAGAAACAATAAAAGGTAAGTGGAATAAATTAGAAGATGGTTTCAAGTTACCACAGAAGTCAATTTGAAACTCAAGAATGCTTTCTTTGACTCATAATCACAAAAAAGTCGAGTGACATTTTAGATGGAGAATTTCTTAGGATGTTTACTTTGTAGATATACTTCCTGAGAGATGTACATCCAGAGAGAGGTGTTTACTAGAAAAAGTGACAAAGTGATGTTCAGTTTTAATAGGTATCCCCTGAGAGAAGGGAGTATTCACAAGAATATGTGTTCATAAGAAAGAATGTACTCCTTGAGTGCTTAAAATTCACTGAAAAGTACTTGAAAAGTAAATATTTGCAGACAAAAAAACAAGTATTCATTAAATGAGGTGTGTTCAGTAAAACATAATTTCTTACCCAATCTTGACTGATCCTTTCACAGGTCTAAATGGTTTAGGTGATGCTGTGTGTTCAGAATATGGTGATTTATGTTTAGCTTCTTGTGTGCTCTTGTATTCAGGTTCCGATTTAGTGTCACTATGTGATGCCAGTTTCTTCCCAGATAGTCTATTATGATTCTGCCTATGTAAACTCTGGGGATGTAGGTGTTGGTGAGTGATTTCTGTCATCAGAGATTTCACATCAGGAATTTTCATACTCGTTATTTCAGCGACTTTTTTGGTCATCATTTTGATGCTGATCCCATGTTTGTTGTAGACCTCTACACCTGAACTTTTGTACGACATCTTTGCTCAACCTTCAAAATGTGGACACTACTTTCTGATATTGCCTTGTCTTATCTTATGAATCAAATCTCTATTAGAGATTTAGAGAATCAATGCATTGCGATACAGAAATATATTACAATGTCGTATATTGCATGTAGGTAAGCACATGTACATGTAAAATTCTGACAATTTCAACAATTTTGGTACTTCTTATGCTAATCCCCTTATACCTCAACCATTCAATGTTTATTTTCAACAGTGAATTTGAATTTAATATCAATCAATACCGTACCAAATTCAAGTCATAATATTTCTTTAACTAAATCAACTTTGTCAAGACCAAGGAGAAAGACTCTTAAGTGTAAGATCAATTAACCTTTATCTCAAATACAATACAAATATAATATGATTTGGAGGTCAACAGTGCTTGAGAAGTAGAACCTCCCTTCATGATCAGTCATTGATATATTGCAGCCTAAATGGATGGGTCAACACTCAAGAATCGAAACAGTTAAGATGGTCAAATCATTTTTTCTTTGATTTTGTTATGTGATGAAATTGTTTTTTTGTTTTTCAATGTTGCCCTTAATGGATGGGTCAACACTCAAGAATCGAAACAGTTAAGATGGTCAAATCATTTTTTCTTTGATTTTGTTATGTGATGAAATTGTTTTTTGTTTTTCAAATGTTGCCCTTGCTTTATTTGTAAAGTGACAATAGAAAACCAAAAAATGAGAATGAGAAAAACATAAAAAAGGACAAGACAGGAATATGATTCAGGAACTAGTAGTGTATGATGTGAGATTTACAAACCAATACTCTACAATTCAACAATCTGATCTGAATGTACAAAACTAAATTTTATGAACAACTGAATGGTTGATGCTAGCTTAACCTTTACCATGCTGCCTTATTTCAGCAAATATATCCCACGCAACTGGCTTATTTTTCAAAGAGTGCAAAAAATGATATAATAATTAATATCTCAATAACTACTGAATGAATCTGGATAAAATTTTCACAAAGGGAAGATACAGTGGCCTGGCTCATGAAAAAAATGTTCTCATGAATTTTTTCGTACATTAACACGACTGGGCATAAATATACCATGAATACTCCTCCGGAATCCGCCGCTCCGCCTCTTCGTCTGGTCAGAATCCAAATCTGAATTTGCAGCGATCGAATGTTCAATTTTTCAATTCAGAAAATATTCTAGTTTCTATTTTCGATGACCGTTATCGGCTTCCAAGAGCCTAAAGAGCTCGAAATCGTAATTCATTTCCTCCACATTTTCGTTGTGATCGTATTTGTCCACCATTTTGTACGATTCGTTCACTAAAAACGACTAAAACACTGTTTAAATTGTTGAATTGAGAATTATTTTTCGAAATATCGCCATTCTAGGTCAACAGGAAGTCATGTTAGGCACTGAATAAATCGGGCAATCTAATTGGACAATACGAATGGCGCGAAAAAGTAAAGTTTTTAAAAGTTTGAAATCGGGCGTACGGGTCCGCCGGCAGTTGTGAGAGACATTTTAGTCTCGGCGGACGAGTCCGCCGGCAGCACGCTAAAGGTTAAAATTATGATTTTTGTTTACTATCTATTAGAAGAGTACATAAAATACATACTTAAAGTAAAATATGATAAACTATAAAATATGAGTAAAAAAATAAATTTCAAAATGTATGATGGGTGATCTTTGCAGACCATATACTGTTTACATTGATGTCTATTTATGTTAGAATACTTTATTTATATGACACTCAAAAAAGAAATATACATTATATCGAAACAAAAATAGGAAAATGGAGCTTTAACATCTTCTATTTAACAAAGAATTAACATACCTGTAACCTTTGGTCTCATGTATAATCCATAAACTGTACTTTGTCATTTGCAAAGAAAAACATTTGAAATCATAACCATTCCTTGTAGGAGGTTTTGTATACTTAACTCATATACATTCTAAATACATATTATGTCTAAATATAATCTTAGAAATTGCTTCAATAAGGGTTACACAAACTGAATGAGATTATCTTCCTAATCTATTTTAACTTATAATATTCATTGTATTCAATAACTCTAAGATACAGTTTGGTCACTTATATCTTCAAATCCACTTAAACTCCTGCACATTTCTTCAAAATCCTATTTATGATGATGAGAAGTTATTTTTGATATCATTCGATCAAATCACAGTCAGATAAAATCTCAAAACACTCATCATTTTGAATTTTAACTGTATAGTACAACACTTAAATGAACAAAAATGTGTTTGAATAGCTTCAAGTTGTTACATTTATATAGAATAGATTTAAGCTGTCATATTTTCATATTTAAATATTGTTTTGTGAATACATTTTCTTAAGGTTGGTGTCTGAATACCTTTATAGTACGTAGAACACAAATCAAATCAATAAATTTAATAGCAAATTGAAAAGTGAGCTGAGGCCTCAACCTTACTGTGACAATACAGCAGGGTGTTCAGGAAATTAATCAGTTTCCTGATTTCTTACATTTAATTAATAGTACATATTATTAGATTGAAGAACCATAAACCTACATAATATAAGACTTACCACATAAGTATGAGAACTCTAGTCGGGCCTATTCTGAAATTCTGCATTCCTAAATAATTTACTGTACTGTAGGAATAAGATTTTGCAACACATGTATGACAAAGGAAACAAAATTGATCTTTTAATTTAAAAAACCTATAAAGTTTCTTTATGAATATAATTCTTGGAGTACTCTCATTGACCACTATGCTAAGATATGACATGGTATGGTCATTTGTCTCACATTTGCAACATTATTTTGCAGGCTAATCAAGCTATCTAAATATTAGTGATTATTCTGCCCACCGACCAAATCTTACAGAAGAATTTATAATTATAATAATCAATGATAACCCTCTGCAGTGTTATTGCAGATAAACCTGGCCTGACAATAGAAAAAGATACATGAGATTTATAAGCATGCCAGAAGGTCAATGATTAGATATATATAAATATAACAGAGAATTAAAAGACCATTCAGTCATTTTATGATCTATAATACGTATTATCTGAAGTAATCTTCAGGATTTTTTTTAAATTTCCAGTGACGTATATGACTCAGAAATACACAGATTATTTTCATGGAATACCTTTTCTGGTAAATATTGACAAAGACAGATTTTTGAATTTTTTTAGTGATTTAAAGTTTGACAGCATGCTTTGATAGAAAGCGTATTTTCTTTAAATCTCTCAAAGGTACTCCACTACCTCATTCACAAAATAATTCCTCATTCATTGATTCTTACTGTACTGGTTTTTCAGTCGAAATGTTGAGACATGCGCAGACCTTTATTTAGTGATATTTTCATTTCAAATATGGCGGCCAATCCGATGTCTGACGACCCTTACAAAGAATCTAGGCAGTTTGCATTTTTACCTCCTGTGAAATAACAAGTGGAATTTAGTAGTTGTTTTGTGTTTTATTATCATTCTGCATCGTAATTCTATGTGATGTGGTGTTGAAATGTCAGCAGAAATACATATCCATACGATAATCGAGTGAATCAGATAACAGATTTTTCGAAAACCCGTCTCGTGCTAAGAGTGTAAAAACTTGTATTAACATGCTCAAAAGTGCCAATGTGCACATCAATGTCAAGCTAAATCAATGTTGTGTCTAAAACAGGTACCCGATCTACTCAAAACAGCTTGTCATTCACGTATACACGCTTAGCAAACACGGCAAAATGACCTGAATCTTGGAATTTCGTTCAAGAGCTGGTAATGTTTGCTCCGGTCTTTGTCATAAGTGTTCATCAGACTTCACGCATGCGCAGGAGAAAAACCATCAACCAATAAGGTTTATAAATCAATTTTGCGCATGCGCCTTACAACGGTAAACAAATTCGTATTTATAAACGAACCAGTTTGAGATAACCCGATATAAGTCGGAGAAATCTGACGATCTACGAAACTCACTTCAAAAAATCAAATGCGGACTGACGGCGTATTCTACTATGTTTGGATCTAAGATTTTCAGTATAGATAAAGTCTTTTATGATCTTTCGAATGAGGTAAGTCTCTAGTTCGAAAGACAATCGTATCAACTTGAACAAAAGTTGAGTTTTGACGAAAAATTTTAACATGCGCAGAAGTCCCATTTTCGTTGTACCATATTGACTGTTTTGGTAAGATCGTAACTTAATTCTGCAAAAAAACATTGTCTACTCTTAGATGAACAACTTGCAACAAAATAATGTGGTACAACGATTCCAAAAACTGACCCCTGTTTCTTAATATCAAACACTTGCCATATTTGACTGCCATCTTTCTTTAATAACACTAATAAGAATATTTTATTTTCCTATGAATGCTTGATTCGACATAGTTGATTTACTTGCTACTTTTAGTTGTTTAACAATATGCTCAGCTAATTCATTTCTTTTGTGATATTATGAATATATGTAAGCCTAAAGCCTTACAGTTTAAGGTTTCCCCTCATCCCAATAAATGAAAATTTCATATTTGAAAATGATATTTTGCAATTTACAATGCTACATCAACACTCTCCCATGTAATAAATGAAAATTTCATATTTGAAAATGATATTTTGCAATTTACAATGCTACATCAACACTCTCCCATGTATTACCGTTCCGTATTAGTAAAATTGTTGACATTAATACGGAATAAATCATACCATTTCATGAAAAATGGTGACCATGTCCTACGGAAATTGAGATTATGTTTTACAGCAAGTTCGCATGGCGATACTGTATAGCACATGCTCTGGGGAATTGATTCTACTTTCTATAGACACCAATCACATCTCTGTCGATAGAATAATAAAAAAGCCTTAGGGTCCCAACCTCCTTTGTTTACATTTACAAAAACGTGAAAAAATGACAAAAGTTGTCATAACTTTTTAAATCTTAAACTTTTGAAACCGATTTCATTTGCCAGCGACAGATACTTTAGTCGTTGACGAACCGAACATGACAGTTTGGTTCATACTATCTCCAAATAAACGATTTCAACATTTCAAAAGACTCGATGCTAGTCCAC